TTTGATGAAATGCAGCCATTTTTCTAAGAAAAGGAACAGCCCAGAAGCTCCACCCCAGAGGGAATGACTTCATTATAATCTGAAAAATGGAAGACAGCTTAGCCACCTGCTTTAAAGGAGGAGATTAATACTTTCTGCAGGTTAGTGGAAAGGTAGATGAAATATTTTAGACTACTTTGCACTGACCTTCAGAAAACTGCTAAAGAGAGCTCTGTTAAGGGAATCTTCCCCCCTCCTCCCCTCCCCCCACAACAGTACACCCCATTCATTTCCCCCCCTTATCCAACAAGAAGTAGAGAACCTCAAGTTTCCTTAGTTACAAGTCAAAGAGGAAGTTCCCAGGGAGGAGCTCCGCCAGCAGGTATAAGAGGGGTGGGTGTATCGGAGGTCAGAAGGGAAAGACAACGGCCAGGGGATTTCTGAGCTTCGGGGCCAGGGAGAAATAGTGGTTTCTCTGTCATCACCACTACACAGCCAACTAATGTGATTTATCTGTAATTGCTAATTAGGGCCAGTGACGTGGGAGATGGAACAGCCTACAGATTCCAAACTAAATCCAAATACTAGTGGGCTGTTTGCTGGATTTAAATAAGGTTATTTCATCAACATTTTCACTATCTTCATGAGACAAAAAGGACTTATATAATGTACATTTTAACAGAAGTTCTCAAAGTAGCTTTCTTTAAATACCCATGTCTGGGGCAGTTTTGTAAGAAAAATAATAGGGAAAAAATTGCATAGTTACAGCTATAATCTAAGTAAAATGATGCTATAACTATGATTTATTCTTCCTGTACAAGCAAAGAAATCTATCATTGATAAAACGAATATGATGGTTTCATAAAGCACTGCACATTCTCTGGCATTACCTACTGTTGTAGTTTTAGGCACAAACTCCACATTCACTTGGATCTCTATGTCCAACTGACCATCAGTGGGAAAGACGTTGGGCAAACAGATCAAAGAGAAGGAAAGTCAAACAGCACTCCTAACCCATTAAAAAAACTGAACCCATTTCCAGGTGCTTGTAGCACTTGGGTAGTATTTAAACTTGTGGAGAAAGAAAGGAAGCAGCTGCCCTATGAGGTCTCTGGGTCAGACCATTGCTTCCCATGGTTCTCTGAGCTGGTCTAACAGGCTAAGTTGGTAATTTAATACCAAACTAAAAAAAAAACAAAAACTTGCTAATCCATGTTTTCATAAAGATTTTAACTCAGTGAACAGTGTCTGTAACTGCAATGTTTTAGAGCCTAGCAGACAGCTTTGAAACAAATGGCTAAATTTTTCAACCACAATAGGAGGCTTTCTGAGGAGCCAGGAAATTCCATGTAGCACAATGCCAATAAATACTGAATAAAAGAGGGTTTTCTGTTTCTAGATCCCCAAATCTCACATGGATCACTTAGGCTACTTCTCTAGTTCTAGAACCTATAGAGGGGCTTCCTTGGTGACTCAGCAGTAAAGAATCCGCCTGCCGATGCAGGAAATACAGGTTCAATCCCTGGGTTGGGAAGATCCCCTGGAGAAGGAAAAGACAACTCACTCCACTATTCTTGCCTGGGAAATCCCATGGACCGAGGAATCTGGTGGGCTACAGTCCATGGGGCTGCAAGAAGCTGTACACAACTTAGTGACGAAACAACATAACCTATAGAGCAACTCCTTTTGAAAAGGATTAACAGTAAGCTGCAAAAGCTAGACCATTTCTCCTTTTATTCTTTTTTCTCCCATACAAAAGTCCAACATAAGAGTTCAACACTCCTCTAACTCCTCAGTTACCAAGTGATGTCAATTCCTCCTCCTCAGGAAGGCTTACAAAGTAGCTCACTTTCTAGAAAGGTAAGCAAACCACCTGTGATTCAGGTTGTGACTCACACCCCTCTGAGCCCCACTGAGAAATCTTACCAATTCTATCTCTCTGGTACCTTCTAAAACAAAGATAATTCCTCCTCCCAGTAGATCTTGAGCAGTCTTACTGGCAGCCGCCTCTGACCATAACCACAGTGCCTACTTGTCCTTCTCTCTCCTCTATTTCAACCATTTTGATCATTCGGGATGTACTGTGGCAGGAAGATAAAGTATAGTTCAAGGTTTGAGGAAGTAGTTCATCACAAGGGAAGCGGCAAGACAGTGTTAATGGTTAATCCGGGATACAGATGGATGTGCCATAGAGTACCACACTGGAGGGAGGTAGTTTGGGCTTCCGTGGTGGCTCAGAGGCTTAAGAATCTGCCTGCAATGCAGGAGACCTGGGTTAGATCTCTGGGTTGGGAAGATCCCCTGGAGAAGGGAATGGCAATCCACTGCAGCATTTTTCCTGGAAAATTTCATGGACAGAGGAATCTCATGGGCTACAGTCCATGGAGCAGGGAGGTAGTTTGGTGCTATGCGCTCTGCAGTCAGACCGCTTAAGTGCAAATACAGGCTCTGTTAAGACTCTGCTAGGGTGCTAAGACTCTGGACAAGCTGCTTAACCATTCAGTGTCTGTATCCTTATCTATAAGACGGAAATGTTAGTACCTACCTCACAGGACTGTTGTGAGACTCAAAGGATATGATACAAACCTGAAAGCATTACAATCACTGAACAGTAAGCATTACGCTAGTTACTTTTGAAATGTATAGTATGTATACATTCATGAAATGTATAGTATGTTCTTTTGAAATGTATAGTATATATACATTTCATGAATGTATACATACTATACATTTCAAAAGAATGAGGCAATTCTATATTATTTTCTTGGAATAAAGTCCATGACATAGTGTTTTGTGAAACTACAGAATAACATGCTTAGTTTGAGTCTATTTGAGAAAGGAAAAAGAAGATCAGGATATATATTTATAGGTGCATCCAACTAAGTCTACAAAGGCAGGTACCACTACTCAAACACAGAATTGCCTGGGTAGATGGGGGTGGCTTACATTTGTATACAGGTCTTTGCTTGAATTCACAAGTATATATTAATTTCATAACTAGCTTTAAAAACTAAACTTTTTACAGTGGCCTTTCTAACCTCCCAACTGAACCTTCCTTATGTTCTAGTCAAGGAAAAGATTAGCTTCTTGGAGATAAGGAAGCTAAGGACCAGGTAGGAGGAGGTACAACTCCTGCCACGGGCCGCATTTCAGATTCCCTTACAGTCTGTATAGCCCTTTGCACATCATCTGCTTGCCACAGTTTTCAAACTGATCGTTTTTTCCCCCCTTCCCCTTCCTTCTTGCTATCTGAGGTACTCCTTTTACTGTGTTCAAGTAGCTTCCACATTGCGTTTTAACATCTTTCTTCCTAGCTCTCATAACTTTCTCACCACTTGCCTCCTTATCTCTGCCCTTCAGACCTAGGTGCCATGGCCCTGGTGAACCCACTGGAGTGACAATGGGTCCCTACACATTTTGACAGGCATAAGCGCCCCTTTTACAGAACTGTAGGACAAAATTGGCTCCAAGTTTATTTTTGCCTTGCAAAAGTCCAAACGATCTTCCAAGCAAGATGGAGGGTTTGGCGGAGTCCGAGGTGGTATTTCAGTCAGGAAACAGTACTTGCTGCTTTGGAAGGCACTTTTCAACCACACAAGTGTTTTTGCGAGCTTTCTCCTGAAAGGTATAATCATACTTTGTACCTCCTTCACCCCCAACGCTCTCTACCACGCCTGCCCTTTATTATGTGTTAATTTTTATTGTTAACAACCAACAACCCCAACCGGTTCCCTATTTTTCACCCTCTAGTCACCTACCACCATTTATACATATTTTCTGTTTCAGCACTTGGGGAAACAACTGTATGACGAAAGGGGAAGGAAAACAGAATTCGGAGTTCTCGGAAGAGGGTCTTGCAAACTATCTGTCACCCCGGAACCCGGAGCGTCGGGGATCCGGCCTGCTCGGGGCTATCCGGGCCACCAGGACAGGGTCAGCATCAAAGCGCCCGGCTTCGGGAGAGCCGATTGGTGCCCCGAGGAACCAATCAGCGGGCGAGGCTGTGCACCGGCGGGGGAGGGCCCAGATTATAGAGCGGATGGAGTTAAAGGAAAAGGGGCAGGTGTGCCGGGCAAGGTTTCGCGTGCACTTTTGCACCCACCGAGCCATCATTAATCCGGAAACTCTGGTCTCCTCAATTCTACCTTCAGAATTTCCCAGTTTCATGACGCTGTGTATAGAAGAAATAAACAGCCCTCATCCCACCATTCATAAGACGCTCAATGGAAGAGCTGTAGCGTTGGGGGGTGGGGAGGCCATTAAAATCCTTCCTCTCTCCTTTCCCAGTTCCACTCCAGGTCGTCAACGTAACTCAGTCAGTTCTTGAAATAGTAAATCACTCAACCTCTCACTTAATCGCCAAAGCTGATTACCAAAATGCTATCATTAGGCACCTGGAAGAAGTTGCCCCCTCCCCAAGGACTAGGGGAAACAGTACTGGCATTCACTAAAGGCTCAGGGTTTTCCCACCCGCAAAAGAGAAGCCAAGGAGCTCTTAGGCTGAAGTCTGAGAGCCTGAGACCTTCTGAGCCGTGCGACCCAGCGCCGGACCGCGGGCGCCGGACAACCGCCCCCAACGCCCCAACCCCCGGCGCAGCGACAGTTTCCCCAAGCTCTACCCCACAAACTTCACGCGGAGGCACCGATTTGGGGGGAAGGGCGCACAGACACCAGATTTCCCTGCTGTGTTTCAAACTTCAGCAGGGCTGTTCCACGCACTTTCTTCCAAGTGACACAGCCCCCGGATTCACAAACGCGTCCAGCCTTAGCTTTCCCACGGTCCAGCGCTGCCACCCACCACCCAAACCCGGGCTGGAGACGCCGCGTCCTTGGGGCTGGGGGAAAGGGGAGGAGGAGAAGAGAGGAATGGCCAGCCTAAGTTAAGAGGTGCCCTCCGCGGCCTGGACGCCGGCAGCCAGCGGAGGGCCCTGGGGCCGAGGAACAAGGAGAGCGGAGAGCTGGAACCGTGCGGGGAAGGGCCGCGAGGAGAGAAGGGGCGCCGCCGGTGTCGCTGCACTCACTCTGCGTAGCCAGTGGCCCAGGGCAGCCGCCGGGTCTCCTTGAGGATGAGGATAGGGCGGGCGATGTGGTCGGCGCTGCACTCCACCTCGTCCTGAGACAGCCCCAGGAACTCGGGTCGCCCGTAGGGGAAGCGCAGGGGCAGGTCCGAGCCTCCGCAGCCGCCGCTGCCGTGCTCGGAGCCTGAGCTGCCAGCCATGATGCCGCCCATGAAATTGGCCACGGCAGATTTCACTCGAGTGAGCATATTACTCCGGAGCCCGGCAGCAGCGGTGCGAGCACCCCCGCTACACTTCCGCAACCGAGCGGCATGGAGCGGGCCCCCGGCCCAGCCGGGGGAGACGCCGAGCGCTCTGGGAGCGGCTGCGCGGCGGCAGCTTGCAGCGGGTCCCTTCCCCGCCCGCAGCGCCCGACTCCTGCGTGAGCGGAACTGAGCCCACCCAGCGAGCCCGCGGAGCCGGCGCGGCTGCTGCCACGGCTACCGCCGCCGTCGAGTCATGTGATAATCCCGTTGCAAGGGCTCCAGCGGCTGCCGGGGCCGCAGCTCGGCCCCTCCCCTGCCGGCCCGAGCGAGGCTCGCACCGGGACCGCGACCTCCTGTGGGAGGGGAGCGCCAGGCCCCGTCGGTACCCGGCGGAGGGGATGGGGGGCGCTGTGAGCCGGTGGCCGTACAGGTATCAGGGGAGGTCACGTGGAGCCCGGCCGCAGGGAAAGGCCAGTTGAGGAATCCACTCGCGGAGAAATGCTGCCTATGCTTTCAAAAAGGGAAACTTTGGGCGCTGGAGGGGAAAAGGTAGACAGGTGGAATCCCGATGGGGCTGCTCCAGGTAGTGGAGTGCAAAAGAGGAGCACCTGGTGTGAGAGACTTCGGAGCAACCCTCAGTGGTTGCACAAAAATCATTTAAAGTTTTTCCCGAGGCATTTCTAGAGTTACTTTTCTTGTTCTTTCAATACCGCCACACACATCATTATCTGCGGAGCAGACCCTGTTTCGAAACCAGAGTAAGGTTGATGGCCAAGAAAACAAAAGAGCTCTAAGAAATCAGAAGCAAGCACTATTTTACCTAGTGGTTAATTGCTTAATAGGTTTATACAAGCATTTTCCTTCAACATACCAACAAAAACAGAGTATCTTTTCAAAGCTGACCCTGTTTACTATTGATGCACTTAATGCAGCCTTTGCTTTATTCAAAACATTGTTATAAAATTAAGGGCACTTTAAAATGGAAGGAATTAAAAAAAAAAAATCTCCAATGCCAAAGTAAAAATGAATAAATGTCTGCAACCATAACATTTTGTGGTAATCTTGTATTAAAATGTTTGCGAAGAATCGATAAACGTGCTTCATCAGGAGGTAACGTTTGTTAAATATCGGCTTAATTTTTTTTTTTTTTTGGCAAGAGAGCCGTGTCCTGTTCATGTTTACTTATTCTGTTTCCTGTTCCTGTGTTTACCTACAATGTAATTTGCCAAGATTCTGTGTTACTTGTGGAGGTACATACTGAAAGGCTCACTTGGAAATCGGGAAGGAATACAGGCCCTTTTTCAGTAAGTGGGGGCGGGGGAAAGAGCAGCCCAGGTTTCGGAGGGTAAGAAAATTCTTTGAACAGAATTAGCATCCTGGCTTTTAGGGGAGAACTGAGTAAACTTCACTGGTTCTCTTTATTCAATATCTATACTTTTAAAGGCAATTTCTCCTTTGGCTTTTTCATGAATAGGTACTTTGGTTTACTATATAGCAAATGATTATGTAAAAAACAACATTCAACCTTCCAGTGAATATCACTCCTGTCAATGAATTCTTTGATTTTTTTTCTCAGAGGTAGCTCAACTGGTAAAAAATTCGCCTGCAATGCAGGAGACCCCAGTTTGATTCTTGGGCCAGGAAGATCCGCTGGGGAAGGGATAGGCTACCCACTCCAGTATTCTGGTCTGGAGAACTCCATGAACTGTATAGTCCATGGGGTTGCAGAGAGTCAGACACGACTGAGTAACTTTCAGAAGAGAAATGTAGTTTTTTATCTTGGCCCCCTTTCCCTAATTTTAAAATTGGGAGCAGAATTGATAAAGATGCAAAAGCTAAAGAACCATCCCCCCCAAAGTCTTCTCAATCTTTGCTTTGTTCATTGTAAACTGCTTCTAAATGAGAAATATCAATGTAGTGATTCAACAGCCAACCAACTATTAATACCTGCTCCAACATCCACTGAGTTATAGAAACTTAGAGTCTCCTTGTCAAGCTCTTGTAGAACAATGACCTTTTAACAACCTCCTATGGATACTCCCTGCTTCCCAGGTGGCTCAGTGATAAAGAATCCACCTGCCAAGCAGGAGATGCAGGTTCAATCCCTGGGCTTCAAAGATCCCTTGGAGAAGGAAATGGCAACCCACTTCAGTATTCTCACCTGGAAAATTCCATGGACAGAGGAACCTGGCAGGCTACACACCGCTGGGTCCGGAAGAGTCAGACAAGACTGAGCAACTAAACAGCAGCTACAACATAGATACTTCAGTAACAAATCTCTATTGAGATGAATTTACTACTTTCTTCCCTTCATTTCACCTTAGGGCAAGGCTTTACTAGAGGCTTTACTTTACCTAAGGCTTTACTTAGGTATTTACTAGAAAAAAGATTTATTTTTCAATTTAAAAGTAGTACCCAGTCACAGTCAATAAAGTCCAATAGTACAGACTGTAAACAAAAAAAGTGAAAGACCAAATCATTTCCCTAGAGGATCACCCCTGTTAATATTTTCTGTAGGCTTTTTTGTCAAGTAGGATATTTATCATAATTAAATTTGGTAATATTAGCCATATTTGTGAACCAGCATGTTGTAAGAAGTTATTTTATGTTTCTCTGTAATCTGGCTATTATCTGTCATGGCAAAGTTCTGGCATATCTTTGTGCACAGCAAACTTTGCTCTGCTAACCACAGGCAAAACAGGAATGCTATGCCTGTTCTTTGAATTTCTTTGGTATGTGTTCACAGCCAACTAATCAATCAACTATCTTATCTTTATACCCACCTCTAAGGTCAGTGTCCCATCCTAGGGTTTTTCAGAGAAATATTCCCCATATAATTTACTCCCCAGTTATGTCACTCATGAAGATCAGTGCTTTAGTTAAGCGGTAAATTGTCATTAAAATATCATCGCTTTTGGAGAAGGAAATGGCAACCCACTCCAGTGTTCTTGCCTGGAGAATCCCAGGGACGGCGGAGCCTGGTGGGCTGCCGTCTATGGAGTCACACAGAGTCGGACACGACTGAAGTGACTTAGCAGCAGCAGCAGCAGTCATCACTTTTAGGGAAGCCCCTGAAAAAGTACCTGTCATACCTATTACAGATGCAAATTTGGTAGTATTTGTGCTCCCAGGTTTGAAAGTAGTTATTTATTCCCTAAATCAAATGGCATAGTAGTCAATGGGTTTGTTATACTCTGTGTGTATGCTCCACTCATCAAAAAGTATCCTTCATTTGTCTTTCTTGTTAATCTCTTTTCCCCTGAAAATTATGAGTTTGAAGCCTTTAGTAGAATATTCATTTACAGGACAGATACATAGACCTTATATTTGGATGTTCTTTGTGTAAACATAATCTCATTTCTAGGCCTATGATATTATATTTTTGACTATTTAATGACTCTTTTCTAGCAACAAGACTATTTTCAAGAGAAAACAAAGAAGGTATGGATGATGTCTTCAGTCAAAACATCAAGGAAACCCCCCAACCCCAGATATTAATGAATTACAAAAGGAAAAACAGTGACTTGCAGTGAAAAAAACAAAGTCCTGGCAGTCATCACCTAAAACAAGTGATCAAGGTTAACATCCTGTACCTGCTGACATTTTGTGATGAAACTAACACGTCACTTCATGGTATTCTTCCCCAAATCCTTAACCGCCGTATAGTCATGAGAGAACATGAGTCAAACCCAAGCCAAAGATACTCTACAAAAATACCTAACCAGGTATTTTCAAAGTGTCGAGGTGGAGGGTACAAACTATTGGGTATAAAATAGGCTACAAGCATGTATTTGGAAACGTGTGGAATAAAGTCATTATTTTGTAATGTGTGTGTGTGTGTGTGTGTGTGTGACAGTTGCTCAGTCATGTCTGACTCTTTGCAACCCCATGGATTGCAGCCTGCCAGGTTCCTCCATCCATGGGATTTCCCAGGCGAGAATACTGGAGTGGGTTGCCATTCTCTTCTCCAGGGGATCTTCCTGACCCGGGGACTGAACCCTGGTCTCCTGCACTAGAGGTGGACTGTTTACCATCTGAGCCACCCAAGTAATACTATATGTAAGTGGAGTGGAATCTTTTAAAAATGGTATAAAATTGTTTTTTAAGTGTCCAATTTCTGTAAGTCAAGGCGGAACTGTTAGACTGGGGATATAAGGAGCACAACCTACTACAACAGCGTATGGGCGTTAATTTCTTAGTTTTGACATCAACATTAGGGGAAAACTGGGTGAAGGGTACATAGGAACAAAACTTTTTTAAATAAGATTTGGGTTTCAAGTAGAAAGCTCATTTGCAAGTCAGGCCATAAGAAGGATGAAAGTGAAAGTCGCTTAGTCATGTCCGATTCTTTGCGACCCCATGGACTATACAGCCCATAGAATTCTCTAGTCCAGGAATACTGGAATGGGTAGCCTTTTCCTTCTCCAGAGGATCTGTCCAACCCAGGGATCGAACCCAGGTCTCCCACATTGAGGGCGGATTCTTTACCAGGTGAGTCACAAGGGAAACCCAAGAATACTGGAGTGGGGAGCCCATCCCTTCCCTAAGAAGGAGGAATAATGCCATTCCAGGACTCAGCTCTCTCAACAGCAGCAGGTACATACCTCCTCGAATTGTATCTGGCAGTTTATCCATGTCTTCCCATTAGACAGTGAAATCCTATAGGGTAAGAACATTCTTACTCATCTTTGTATTTCCAGCACTTCGCCTAATGCCTAGCAAGCTAAAGGGCTCAGTTGGTAAATTCTTTCTCTCTTTTTTTGGCTGTGCCATGGCACATGGGGATCTTAGTTCCTCAACCAGGGATTGAACCTATGCCGCTGCAGTGGAAGCATGGTGTCTAACCACTAGACTGTCAGAGAATTCCCAGTAAATTAATTATTTTCTTTTTAATCTATTCTGGAGAAGAATGTAACTTGTTTGAATGGCCAAAACTGTTATATTTATACCCTCTGTTTTCTTAAATTTCTTTCTCAAGTTATCCCTTAAGATCAGTCTTATCT